AGTCTCTTGTCGCTGAAGAAGTTGCTGAAGAATAACTTCTTGTTGTTCTTGAAGTTGATTCAGAAATGGTTGTTGTTGTTGAAGTTGTTGAAGGGTACTATGCAGTTTATGAAGAAATTCTTGTTTATTTTCACAGGTAGGATTCTGTTCAAGTTTCTGACGAAGTTGCTGTTGTCGTTGAAGAAGCCACTGAAAATGCGAGTGGTTTTTTTCTAGTTGTTCGAGTTGCTGTTGAAGTTGTTGGTGAGGCTGTTGTTCCAGGAGTTCTTGGAGAAAAGACTGTTCTTTTTCTATTTGTTGGACAAGTAGTTGAGAAGATTTTTTCACATTTTCGGTTGACAATGTTGTCATTGTTGTTGAAAAAGAAACTGTTCTTGCTGCTATTGCCTGAGATAATGTGAAAAAGACTGTTGTTACTACCGTAATTCCTGGAGTTATTGCCTAAAAAAACGAAACTAAAAAATAGAAATTACAAAATTTGTGATAGTGAAAATGTTCATTTAAAGAAGCTCACAAAAAGGCATCTTGATTTCCTACGGAACGTGAAACCAGAGCTTATTTCAGTGGAAACAGATTGTTTCCCAAAAAATTGAAACAAATTTAATACCTTTGTACAAGATGAAAAAGCAATGATAAGAAGGAAAATAATTTCTTTCTTCATTTTCACCATATCGATTAATCAAATTTGAACTAAAGAAAAGTAATTGACTGCGAATTAAAACATTAAATGCATGCATTTTTAAAGTTTTCAATTGATTATAGAATTTTAAGCACTAATTAACAATCATTCAAATCAACAATACTAGCGTACTATTTGGATTAGCCAAGCACCAAGCAGTTTATGATTCGAGAAGTCTCGGTCAAATTCTTTCCCTATTTTCCATGGCAGTAAAATCCTCCCTCTAGCATTAAGTTTTTTAACTTTTGTTCGGTAGGAAAGCCCTGGAATTATTGCCACACTGAATAATTATAGTTGTACTGCAAAATTTAAAGACATTTATGTGTTAATTGTTTCATTCTGCAGAACTTTCTAGTTGAAGTGGAAATTGAATTGAAAGCATTGTGTTCCAAAATTGTATTTTTCATCCAAAACTTGGGGACAACATGCATTGCTTTCAGAAAATTCACAGTATTATTGTTCTTTCTGTTTAAATGAATGAATTTTGTTACAATAAAATAAATTAAAGCAATAGTTTCCTTTCTTATTTTGTTATAATAGAAACTTTGCTGATACTGAAAAACGGTTTTTGTCCCAATTCAATCGATAACGATGCATGATATTTGTTAATTTTTCATTGACTATTCTTTGCTAAATTCTGTTATCAGTCGTTGTTTAATTCTAATTTAACAATTTTCATCTTTTTTTTTCTTTCAAATGAAAGAAAATTTAATTTTAGACGGAATTTTAGCAAAGCTACGAAATATAACCAAAATAAAAAATCAGATGGAGATATAAACAAAATTCAATCGTCGATGGAGCAAATTTTCTATTAATAGTGCATTTTGGGACATATTTATTAAAATAGGCGCACAAGTTGTTATTATGAAGATTTCTATTATTATGCCACTGCTTGAATTATTATTATTTTTTTGTAACACCGAAAATGTAAAAGAAAATCATTTCAGTAAATTGTGAGGTTTTGCACAAAAATGAATTCATACATATGTAAAAGTATGAAAAAAATGAAAAGCAGAAAAAGTAACAATAATAAATGAAATAGAAAGTAGAAAAACGGAATTTATTTAAAATAGAACTTGAAGAAGAAATAATAATTTTTAACTTTGCATAAAATAATTTATTCTATTTATAGCAATGCTTCAATTATTCATTCTCTGATGTTATACGCACAAAATTCACATACTTTTCATATTTTTGTTCAACTGTAATGACAAAAAGCTATGAATGAATTATAGCATTAGATTTTGTTTCTATATGAAAACAATTTTTGATCAGCAATACGATTTGTGCTTAGAAATTAAATGCCAATAAGATATTGAAATTTCAAATTCAAAAAATTTTAATACCAAAACGTATAAGTTAATTTCAAAGGAGAAGTGAAGTATAGAAGAGCAATGAGTTAAATCAACAAAGCAGCGTTAATGAATAGTTTAAAAAAAAAATGTCCGCATTATACTAGTAAAAAAATACCGCTACTCCATCAATCGCTTTACCGCCGATCCGTGCAACCTTTCAGAGAAATTCAACAAACCATTATTCATTGCTTACAGCCGTTCTTTCCGAATGAATAATAATGGCGAATATTCCGGATATTAATCTGTAGAATTTTCGCTGTTAATTGAGAAAAATTTATAAGAAAACACCGCCAAACTCAAATTCTACACAAAATCGATACCAAACGACAAAAATAGCGAAGGAATTGTTGTTAGCTTACTAATACCCAATTATCAATGCTAACAATCAAGTTAAATGCTTAGATTACGAGTTGAAGTGCATAGCTATTCTTTGAAAGATTCGTGAAAAGTCTGAACTAAAATGACTAATTTACTTACAATTAAAGGTGTTGCCAATTTCTTTCTGATAGCAACAAAGATAGGAGGCTGTTTCTCCTCTTTGATTCTTTTCTTGATATTTCAAATTCAGGTAATTAAGCCTTTATTTATGAAATGTTTATTACAACAATGAATCCAGAATTTCAATAATAATTTTAATAACGATACCAGTTATCATCCAACACCTGAAAACTTAAATAAAGGAAAAATGGAAGCAATAATGAATAGCATAGCAACTGATTAAAGATCATCAAAAGATAAAAGAGTTTTATTTTTGTGAAGAAAATTAGCATAATAAATCCAGAAGTTCCGAAAATTGAAAGGAAACATTAGCGTTAGCCACGATCCGATATAGGAATTCAATGAATATTCATCTCAACAAACCTGATTAATCGACTAAAACTTTAAGAAACAGAAAATGTTGGAAATTGAGTACCTCATTTCTTACCTAAAAACTAAAAATGCTATGCGATTAAAGTGGGTATTGGTAATAAGGAAATCTCATATGCGAAATTAACTTTACTTAAATATATGAACGACGAAAATATTATATATAGAGAGAATATAGAGAATATTATTTTAATGACAAAAGTAAAAGAGTGATTATTGGTGATCACTCGGAATATTATGGATACTTTAATCTTATCAAATACTTCTGAAAAATTCCTTTGTTCTACTTATTGTGAAATCATTCATAGGCGGTATTATTGACTGAATAAACATTCGGCGGGGATTTTGATGCTTTGACATTTTTCTGTTTTCTAACTTTTATATCGATATTTTTATCTATAATATTTAAGTTTTAACTAAGTTTTAATTAAAGCTATAAGGCAATGATTTATATAATAAACATATTCTTATTTACCTAAAATTTTTCCTTAGTATTTATATTTCTGTGCCATGGCATATTAGTGGCAAAATAGTCCATGGAATCCATTTATTACTTACTTTTCTATTTTTTTTTTTCTATTTTCTAACTTTTTTATGGTTTATTTTCTTATTTATCTTTCTTTTTACCTTTTTTTTGTACACTACTAATATAATTCTTGTTTACAACTCACCTTTTTTTTCTTTTTATCACTGACCTTTATTCCTGGAAAAAATTCTTTTTTCCATGCCATTTTACATTTGTTTATTATATTTGTCATTTCGCAAAATCTCTTTTATATATTTTTTATAAAGCTCATATATTTTATGCTTTTTGTTGATTAAATCTTAATTCATGGATGTTCTTTTTCTAGATACTACTTCTTTTCACTTTTTAATCCTTTTTTTTTTAAATTCATTTTAAAACATGTTTCTTCGTTAATGTTCAAACTTTTCTCATGGCCACGTTTTTTATTGCTTCTTTCCAAGTGTGACATTTTTATACAACCAAATTCAAAAGAAAAAAAAAACCAAAATTAAATAAGGACACTATAATTGCTTACTCTAAAGCACGACTAATGTCAACAAACATAAGATTAGTAAAAATATTATTGAACCACTTGCTTCTGCTTCCATTTCCAATTATTTGCAGCCACTCGTTACTACTTGTAAATACTTGTAGCTGGAGCAACTTTTTACTGTAAAAACTTGCAATTGCAGTAACAATTTACAGCAGCTGTTTATTTACCTTTTCATATCATTTGTTTTCCTTTTTCGTGGAACCACCTATTCTTCCAACCACTTCTAACCACCTGCTACCGTAACCACTTGTAGCCGCCTGCTACTGTAACCACTTGCAACCATCTGATGGTTACGGTAACAAATAGTTACAGTAGTAGGCGGTTGGAAGCGACCACTATAGCAGGTGGTCGCAAGTGGTTGAAAGTGATTACAGTATCAGGTGGTTGAAAGTTGTTCAACAGTAACTTAGCAAAAAAACGTGCGTAAGTTTAAAAAAATCACGGAAAATAAACAACAACTATAATTAATGAAAAGACATGCAAAAGGGAAAATAGAAAAAATGTAATACATAAATAACAAAAAAAAAAGCGTGCAGAACTAAAAAAAACAAAAATGGCACTCATTGAACATAGGGCTGTGAGAAAAGATTGAACATTAAAAAATTAAAAAGTGAAAAGAAGCAATATTTAGAGAAAGCTTCCATGAATTAGGATTTAACAAGAAGCAAAAAAGAGAGAGAGAGATTTCATAAAACGATAAATATAATAAGCAAATGTAAAATGGCGTGAGAACAGAATTTTTTTCAGGAAAAACATGCGAAAATGAAGTCAGTGATAAACAGAATGAAAGGCTGAGTTGCTAACAAGGGAAATATTATTAATGTTCTGCACAAAAAAAAAAAAAAAAAAAACAAAGAACAAAAACAAAAAAAAGCAAATTTAACAGAAAATTAGAAATACTATGAATTCTTTTACTAAATTTTATTAAAAGTAATTATAAATTGCGACGTGTTGACATGTTGATTTAGAGGAAATGAAAACAGAATCAGATTTCCCAGAAAAAAAGAAATCACTTATTGTTGATGCTATGGTTGTTTGAGATTATCTCTGGTGCTGGAGCATATAATCTAATTGTTGTTTTAAGGTTTGGAGAAGACCTTGCTTGCTTTTCAGAAGTTGTTCAAACATAGACTGTTGTCTCTGGAGAAGTTGCTGAAGTGAAAACTGCTTCTGCTTTAGTTGTTGGAGAAGTTCTTGTTGTTGTTGCAGAAGTTGTTGGAATTCAGCTTGTTGTTGCTGAAGTTGTTGAAGAAGATTGGAAATTTGCTGAGGGTCTAGAAGCATTTGTACAACAAGTTGTTTTTGCTGCTCCATAAGCTTCACAAGTTGCTGTTGTTGTTCGAGGAGCTGCTGAATAAGTGATTGTTGCTGTTGATATTGTTCAAGAAGTTGTTGAAGAAGAGTTTGTTGTTCTTGAAGTAATTTCTGATAATAAGACGGCTGCTGTAGCTGAATCAGTTGCACTATAATTTGAAGCTGTTGAAAAAGTTGTAGACTCTGTTGTTGAAGTTTTGCAGCTACAACACCGTGTTCCTTAAGCAATTGAAGATGTTGTTCATGCTGTTGAATTTGATGTTGATAATTACTTTGATCTTGATGTCGAGACTGCTCGTGCTTTTGTTCCATTTGTTTTTGAAGTTCAAACGCTTCTTGCTGCACAGTCAATGGCTGCATTTTTTGTTTTAGAGAAAGCAGTTGCTGCTGCAAAAATTGTTGAAGAATAGGCTTTTGTTCTTGAAGTAATTTTTGCTGATCAGGTAGTTGTTCCAGTAGAGATTGGACAGTCGCTTGTCGCTGAAGAAGTTTCTGAAGAATAACTCTTTGTTGTTCTTGAAGTTGATTCAGAAATGGTTGTTGTTGTTGAAGATATTTAAGGGTAAGTTGCTGGTTATGAAAAAATTGTTGCTTATTTTCACAGTTGTGCTGCCCAAGTTGCTGACGAAGTTTCTCTTGCTGTTGAAGACGATCTTGAATGTGCGAGTGGTTTTGTTGTAGTTGTTCGAGTGGCTGTTGAAGTTGAAGTTGGTGAGGCACAGGGTTTTGTTGTTCCAGGAGTTCTTGGAGAAGAGACTGTTCTTTTTCTATTTGTTGGAGAAGCAGTTGAGAAGATTTTTTCTTATTTTCGGTTGACAATGCTGTCATTGTCGTTGAAAAAGAAACTGTTCTTGCTGCTATTGTCTGAGCAAATGTGAAAAAGACTGTTGTTACTAACGTAATTCCTGGAGTTGTCGCCTTAAAAAACTAGAAAATAAAAATTACAAAATTTGTGAAAGTGGAAATGTTCATTTAAAGAAACTCACAAAAATGCAGTTTGATCTCCTGTGGAAGGACTGAAACTAGAGCCTATCTCAGTGGAAAAAGATCATAAAGAAATAGTTCATTCAAAAAAATCATTCTTATTCAGATGTGAGTTTACTAGAAGTTTTACTGATTGATTCAAGCTATTTCAAGAAATTAGTATTCTATTGAAGACATAGAGTGATATCAAATTGAAACAATTTTAATACCTTTGTACAGGATGAAAAAGCAATGATAAAAAAGAAAATAATTTCTTTCTTCATTTTCACCATCTCGATTAATCAAATTTGAACTAAAAGAAAGTAATGGAATGTGAATCAAAACATTAAATGCATTTTTAGACGAGTAAACAAGTTTAAGCTTTAATTGACAATCAATAATACAAGTGTAGTCTATGGATCAGCCAAGCACCAAGCAATTTATGATTCGAGAAATCTCGGTCAAATTCTTTTCTTACTTTCTATGGCAGTGAAATCCTCCCTCCAGAATCGCACAATATTTCTAAAAGGGTTTCATTCTACAAATGAACCTTCTCCTTATGTAACTTTGAGAAAGTATGAAGAAGCATTAAGTTTTCTAATTTTTGCCCAGTGGGAAAGCCCTGGAATTGTTGTCACACTGAGTAATTTGATTTTTGTTGCAAAATTTAAAGACATTTATGTGTTAATTGTTTCATTCTGCTTCTACAGAATTTTCTAGTTGAAATGGAAATTGAATTGAAAGCTTTGTGTTCGAAATTATATTTCTCATCCAAAACTTGGGAACAACATGCATTGCTTTGAAAAAATTCACCGTATTATTGTTCTTTCTATTAAAATAGATGAATTTTGTTACAATAAAATAAATTAAACGAATGCTTTGATTTCTTAATTTGTTATAATACAAACTTTTCTGATATTGAAAAACGGTTTTTGTCCTTACTCAATGTTTCCGCCTCTTTCTTTTCTTTAAAGGTATTACCAAAAACAATTAAACGGTTCGCTCATCAATTTTGGCATGTCGGTGACAGACTGTTAAAGGTGAAATAAGGTTGCTAATTCTGAAATAGTGTTGTACATACACATTACATTAGCATTACACAGGTGTTTGCATACTTGCATGCAGTTGAATATTTAAAATTTATTATGGGCAGTTGGGATTTATCAAACTGTGCGTAAGTCACTAATAATTTGGAAATGAAATGGGCGATGTGCTCTACACAAATTGATTTGTTTCTTTGAGAAAAAAATTATTTGTTATATTAAAAATTTAAAAAAAATTATTTGTTATATTAAAAAATTAAAAAAATTATTTGTTTCTTTGAGAAGCTTATTTCATCACTGATCAGTTCTGAACTTTTTCCTTTCTTAATGTACTGTCATTTGAAACAACTTTTTCCGTTTCATTTGCTGCAACGACCGATACTTACTACTTGCTCTCCTTTCTTCTTATGCATTCTAGAAAGTTCAGTGATAGTTTGCTTTGTTCTCCCAGAAGTGCATAATAGCTTATGGAAATTAAGTAATTAACCTCTGCTTTCAGATTTCAGATGGAATTCCATCAAGCCTAGATGTTTTGGCTGTTATGTGGATTTGAGAGTTGTTTTGCAAAGCTTTTTTCACCGATTATTGTATGTTACCTTTAATTACTAGGTCTTCACTTGGACTGAAGAGAAATTGAAAGTGTCCAGCTATCAGTTCAGAATGAAAATGAAAATGAGTTGAGTGGAAGCTTTGTACCTTACCTGTCGTGAAATGGGGTCTGATTTGAGTAATTTATAGAGCCAAATAGGGAGTACTTTGTGAAGTAGCAATGTTTAACAGTAATCTTAATTTTATTGAGATAAAATTATCGTTAATCGAAATTATTATTAGAAAAATTGAGGAAGTACATCTGAGGGAGAGGAGAGAGTGTAGAACTTCCGAAGTGCAATCGAGAAAAACTACCTTCATTCCTCTATTTAACTTGTAGAATAGGAGTGGTTTATAACCAAGCACTGATTACCGTATGTAAAGAGCTTCCGTTCCGGATAATCTTTACTCTCTCTTTTTACAGAGTTGGATTTTAATATTACATCAATTACTCATAAGACTGAATGTCAAAATAGCAGACTCTTACAATTTTCAGATGTTAAAAGTTAAGTCTAAGTTTGGCTGTTAGGTTCGAAAATCTTAGTAATAAAATTGGGAGCAATTTTCAACACTTAAGCAATGCACATATTCTCTGTGAATACAGTAGAATTCCAAACAATTTAGATGAGTTTTGGATAAAGAATTTCTTAACTGAAACATTTATCTAAGAATTATTCAAATAAGACAATCTTTAGTCTTATGAATTCACTACAAATTTATTTCGACATATTCGATTCTTTCTTCAGATAGTTATTCTATGCATTTCAGAACTCTCTAGAGCCTTCTGCAATTAGAATTCATATATTACTGACTCATCATCTGTTCTTGATGTTCCGAAATATCTATGAAGCTTGCAGTATGTAAGGTTGCTTTTCTTGCAAGACGGGTAGGTGAGCAAGGAGTTCAGAGTACCTGGATTTCTAAGTCTTTTGAATTTCTTTGATGAGCATACTAGGCATTTTATGGAGAAGTACAGGATGCTATTTTTAATTTGCAAGTTTGGGCCATAGCAGCGAAATATTGATGTAGTAGGTCGGTCTGTTAGATGAATAACTTTAAAGGGTTAAATGAGTTCCATCTGCCCGCATCCGAAATTGTCACTCTTTAAAATGACTGCCCAAGGGCTGCTGGTTTGCCCGACACGGTCGTAAGCATATTACATATATTTGATAACTGTTTTGTCTGCATTACTAACTGAAATAATACAAAAATATTTGATTTTATTCATAATAAATGATGAGCAATAATGTGAAATCAATCTTTGATTATAAATATTGAATTACCTTCTGATTCACATGCAAGGAAGTATTCTTCGGCAAAATTGCTGGACAAATTTTCAATGAATTCTTTATGGAGAGCTGCTGATACTACTTTTTACGTTGTCAAAGTGCTGCTGGAAGGGAATAAATGGAGTAATCTGTATGTTTGGTTCAGAGTTTAGACTCTGAGATTGTTGCTAATATTGAAAATAAAGGAAAGTTTATTGAAAGACAAATATCTTTGTGTCATTTATGTTCATTGTTTTACATTTGCACCAGCAGAAACCGCCATAAAGATACTAATTCTTGTGATCTTATAGCGAGACTGTACTTTTATTCGATAAAGTAACAATTTATTTGGGTTGGATGTGTTGGTTGGAATATTGGGGTGCTACTGTCTTTTTATTATCGATATCGTTATTACAGCTGTCTTATTGAAATTCTAATTGCCAAGTTCATTGCAATATTAAGCATTTTATCAGAATAAAGTTTTGACAAATCGAGAACTAAAAGGGAAGAATTGACTCTCTCAGTCTTTTTATCACGATAGAAAGAACTGTTGACAAATTTGACGTCACAAGCCAGGAACGAAAACATCGGTAAGTAATTCAACCAGATGCATAAACAAGGATGAAAAGCTCATGTTATACCTTATTAGAACGAATTTAAACAAACTTACGCCGATGGATAAATTAGTTTTCTAAAAGACAGAAAGTATTTATGCAGAAAAAATACAAAAATTAAATCAAAAGTCGAATACAAAAATTAAATTACAAAAAAATTAATACAAAAATTAAATCAAAATAAGTTAATCAAAATAAGTCGAAATCTTTAGAAAGAAGAGTACTTATGAATAGAAATTTAAAAATAATTGAAAGAATCATTTCTAAGGCAAATATATTAACAAAGGAATGCAAAGAAGCATTACGATCTGCTAAAGATAAAAAAGTTTGCGAGTCGAATGCTTATTCAGTAATTGTCACAAATTGCTTTGAGTAATGTTCGATATTTTTTTCTAATTGAAATAGATCGGATAAGTTCGTTGTGTGAGAAAAATCAGCAAATAATGGATAAAACGCAAAATCAATTTAAAACTTTAATTGAACTAATCAAGAAATTAGTAACGACAAGTAAGAAACCTTTCAGAAATGAAGAAAGGATTTGATGGAAATCATTTATAAGTCAATTTGAAGATGCAACTGATAAAAGACATTACAGCTATAAATGAATTTTTACACTTAATTGGATGTTTCAAAGCAGAGACATTAGAATACGTAAGTAACTTACTGTCAGTGATTATTGACTTAGAATACGTAAGTAACTTAGCTGTCAATGATTATTGGCTTAGAATAGGCAAGTAACTTAGCTGTCAATGATTATTGGCTTAGAATACGTAAGTAACTTAGCTGTCAATGATTATTGGCTTAGAATACGTAAGTAACTTAGCTGTCAATGATTATTGGCTTAGAATACGTAAGTAACTTAGCTGTCAATGATTATTGGCTTCGAATACGTAAGTAACTTAGTTGTCAATGATTATTGGCTTAGAATAGGCAAGTAACTTAGCTGTCAATGATTATTGGCTTAGAATACGTAAGTAACTTAGCTGTCAATGATTATTGGCTTAGAATACGTAAGTAACTTAGCTGTCAATGATTATTGGCTTAGAATACGTAACTTAGCTGTCAATGATTATTGGCTTAGAATAGGTAAGTAACTTAGCTGTCAATGATTATTGGCTTAGAATACGTAAGTAACTTAGCTGTCAATGATTATTGGCTTAGAATACGTAAGTAACTTAGCTGTCAATGATTATTGGCTTAGAATACGTAAGTAACTTAGCTGTCAATGATTATTGGCTTAGAATACGTAACTTAGCTGTCAATGATTATTGGCTTAGAATAGGTAAGTAACTTAGCTGTCAATGATTATTGGCTTAGAATACGTAAGTAACTTAGCTGTCAATGATTATTGGCTTAGAATACGTAAGTAACTTAGCTGTCAATGATTATTGGCTTAGAATACGTAACTTAGCTGTCAATGATTATTGGCTTAGAATAGGTAAGTAACTTAGCTGTCAATGATTATTGGCTTAGAATACGTAAGTAACTTAGCTGTCAATGATTACTGACTTAGAATACGTAAGTAACTTAGCTGTCAATGATTATTGGCTTAGAATACGTAAGTAACTTAGTTGTCAATGATTATTGGCTTAGAATACGTAAGTAACTTAGCTGTCAATGATTATTGGCTTAGAATACGTAAGTAACTTAGCTGTCAATGATTATTGGCTTAGAATACGTAACTTAGCTGTCAATGATTATTGGCTTAGAATAGGTAAGTAACTTAGCTGTCAATGATTACTGACTGAGAATAGGTAAGTAACTTAGCTGTCAATGATTA